TAATCTATCTCACGTCTAAAAATTGTCGAAATCGAACTATAATTTGTCAAACCCCCAGATACCGAATATGTGGATTCCAGTGCCTATGGCTGACTTTTTACCGAAAATATGGGTTAATTTGTGAAATCTAGTGTTCCAATTCGGACAGAACTTTTTCCAAATAAAAGCATGCTATTCTGTCAAAAATGGATAAAATCGGATCAACATTACTCCAAACCCCAATAATATAAAGATTGTCCTACTTTCGGTTGACTCAATACCGTATATATTTGACAATATGTAAGTTATTTCAATGACATTTAAAAAGCATATTTTTGTGAAAATAATATATTATCACGTCAACATTGGGTAAAATTGGGTCGATTTCTATACAATGATTTTCAAACTTCCGTTTGACTTTATATCTTTTATTTCGGCCAATCTGTTAGATAATCTAAAAAACTAACCCTAGCACTCATATACCTAATATAAGAATTTCAAACTTTCGTTTGGCTTTATTGGAATATGTAAGATCTTGGCAAAATTAAATGAATGTATAATACTGGATATACGAGTACTACAGCCACCATATACCACATTACAAACTGGATACCCGTACTAAAATTTTAACTAAATATTTTCAATAAAATATAGCCGATAAGTTCAGTTTATCTAGAAACGCATTTTTATCAAAACTACATTTTTCAAATTACCTGCAGTTGTAACTCAGACCAGTCTATCCGATTGAACTGTTGTCACGCCCACGAAATGGCATTACTCTGAATCCTATAAAGTGTCATTACTAAGTCCCATATTAATATACAAAACAAATTTGGTATAAAGGATCGCATTAGGGAGGCATCTATGGTAAAAAAAAAGATACGTGTGGCACTCGTGGACTGCCGCGGTAAAGCTATTGCATAGCATTTTTTACAACTTATGCAATTATAATTATTTTTTTATTTTTTATGCGGTATTTTTTTCTTTGATATTAATTCAAGTAACACTTTTTGAGCGTGGTTACCGATAATTAAAAATAAAATTTCTTTTATTGAATAAATGAGAAGTTAATATTGTTTAAAATATTTTTATAACCTTACGATACATGTAGGCTATTCAGGAACTTTTATCATTGAAACCAGGGATAAAGGGATGCCCAACTTATTGAAGTGTGAGAGCGCCTCAAAATTAGCGTTTTTTGTTATAACATTTTTTATTGTAGCCAGATCGGACAAAATAAAAATTTTCATGAATTTAAATTAAAATACCCAACATTTGTTATTATTAAATATTATGCATATGTTTAATGGATGAATGTATAATCCGTTAAACATATGCAAAAACTATTTAAATCCTTGTTTGTGATTTTGTAATATATTAACACAATTGACTTCTGAAATTTCAATACTTAATCAAAAGATTAAATGTATTAGCTCTCAATTGATAAATGGATTTTATAATTTTCAATAGAAAATTAACACTACTAAACATGGCATCACAAAAGATTTCATCAGATACATTTCAATTTAGCGTTTTCTTTAATTTTCATTGTTTTCCAATTTTGTTAGTGATCTTTAACAGCAGCAACAAATCTCTGTTCACATATTTTTCTGTAGGATTTAAATTTGGCCGTCTCTTTTTCCAATTGCTAAACGTCAGACCTCCTGAACTTCAACAGTTGCCTTAGTTCGGGCGGTTTTGACGGCAATTGCGCTCTCATTTACAGTAGGAGATGAGTTGAGCATCTCTTTATCTCTGATTAAAACTATAGGTTTATGGTAATCGATATAAGAAACATAAGTTAGAGACTTGATATTCTATAAATATCTGGAAAATACCGCGTTAATGGTGGTCCCATATATTGTTGTGGATCATTATTCATTTTCAAATTCAATATGTCCGAAAGAAAGAAGTTGATGTTGAAATCGCCAGCCAAGATAAGTGGAATTTTATTACCATTGATAATCCGATTGAAATACCTATGTTCAATTTATTGTTCAATTCAAACGAGATACTGTTCCATAAGGTGGGGTAGCTATTTACCAAAATATTAATAATGTTACTAATATTATGACTCCGAATATTGAATAATTTATTTGTTATTAATTAAATTTGTATTAGATTCCATATTTTTATTTGCTATTAAAAAAATTGTATCTCAAATATTATTATTTTTTGAATCACTCTGCTGTCTCTTCAATTCGTTTGTCCCGCTTGAAATATGCGAAAATATGCATAAAAATATGCAAACATTTCGCACGCCCGCGATAGAAGCTATGCAATAGCTTAAAAATTAAAAGAGACTTGCTACTTAAATAGCAAACATTCTAGACAAGAGTTTTGTATAAAATTGTGCCAAAGAGCCCCACTTTACGGTTATTCATTCAAAAAATTTGAACAAAAAGAGCGATATTAAGAGTTTGATCATCGAATTTCGGCTGCATTTGTGATAAACATAGAAAAAAAGTAAAATAAATGGCAACATAGTTATTGTCGATTTAAAATATGTTACAGTTCTAAAATATTTTTCCATATATATATATATATATGCATGCTCATACATAAACATTTCGCATGAATCAATCAGTGTACATATTTACATACATATGTTGCATGTAGACGGATATACAAACATGCGTGTAGGTTTATTTCCGTTACGGAATTTCTTGATTCGGTCGCCGCTAAAACAGCTATGCAATAGCTTAATAATAATGATACTAATATTATGAGACCGAATATTGAATAATTTATTTGTATTAACTAAATTTTTATTAAATTCCATATTTTTATTTGCCATTTAAAAAATTGTATCTTAAATATTATTATTTTTGAATCACCCTGCTGTCTCTTCAATTGATTTGTTGCGCTTGAGATATGCGAAAATACCTAAAAGTGTGCAAACATTTCGCGCGTACTTTGTGATCATGTAAGGTTCATTTCCGTTACGGAATGTCTGGATTCAGTCCCCTCGCTGAAAGCCCGCGATAGAAGCAATAGCTTAAAAATTTTAAGTGGATATTGTTTCGCTCTCTAATAGGTTTAATGTGCATATCTCACTACTAAAGCTATTATAACCGAATTTTCTGAAAAAAACCTTTCTAGCACTTCTTCATACACTGGAAAATGGATGAAATCAGATGATAACCACACCCACTTCCGATATAATTGGTAGGTTGAATACTCATAAAAGTGTGATAACTCACTAAATAAATACATTAAAAGCATTAAATTTTACATCCTACATAATATATGGTATAAAGGCCTCATAGGACTCCATATAAAATTGGACTTTTTTCATTTCGAATATACCATGGTAAACATGTTATTGCTCTAACATAATACAGTCAATGTTGGTTGTACAGCGGTCGTAACCCACCGCGTTGTATCAGTTTATAACATTAAGGTAATTTAATAATTAGTCCTTAATATATTTTTATCGAAAATCCCTTATAATGATTTATTACATGCTTTCGATAGGCGCCGAATATAATTGATTTGAAAAATAAGTAATTGAACGTTTCAAATGTTTTTCTGTTTTATCTTGTTCACTTTTTAATTTTGTATGCCTTGCTCTCCATTTGTTTTGCATTTTTTTAGGTGGAATTGTTTAAAGTACTTCGAGGAAAAATTTCAACTTCAATGATTAGAAGTTCGCTTGACCGTCGTAAGCAATAACTTTAGTAAAAATGGAGATATTTTGACTTAAATTGTATACATCTTCCTTGTGATTTTAAGCATATTGCTATTGCATCTAGACAAAATCGGTTATTGAAAAAAAAGTTCTTAAACTCAGACTTCAATTAAGCTACAAAACTAGAGTTTAGAAGAGGGTTTCATCGTGGGAAGGAGTATGAGTGATTTAACTTGTTGGACAGTGACTCCCAAATTACTAAAGCTGAGTCTTCTGAAAGTGCGATAAATCAAACATCATCAAAAACGTGAGAAACATTAAATTCAATAATAATGACTATTGAGCAGTCCTAAATGTAAACTATCCCAATAAAATTTGGGTCTTAAAATTTTTATCGTATCCTTATGGTACAGTTTCGGTTATAACCGCACCTACTTCACATTATTTATGTCATTAGATCATATGCGAAATCCCCAAATATATTCTTAAAAAGACGGTTTTTTTTCAATTCGTTCTGTTTTTTTTTTTTTAATTTCTAAACCCGGAACGGCCGGGACGCTCGGAATCCGGACTGTCCAGGCCAAACCGGGACGAATGGATAGCTAAGCTTAGACCTTTGGTTAATATATTATGTATCTTAATGAAATGAATGTTTTAATAAACATGGTAATAAATCGGTGATATCATTTAAGAACTTTGTGTTATATGGGTAGGCGTTATTTTAGTTTGATGTCGACCATTATCAAACTGTAACATTGGAAAGTCCAGATAATGATATGCTCCAAATTTGGTTGAAATTAAGCGGTGCCACACCCATTAACCATGTTCTATACCGATTCACATGAACGCCTTCCGTACCATATTTCCTCTCAAATTCAATTCTTCTAACTTGTTATAAAGGTTATAATCCGATTTCATATATAAAAATACGTTGTTTGATTAAGTACTACAGAGAAATGTTTTCAGCAAGTTTGGGTATATACATTAATCCTATTACAGGACGGGGCAAGCTGTTGTTAAAAATGCGCCACACCACTAAAATCTTATGTGCAAAATTTCAATTTTGTAGTTTATTTTAACTTTATTATACGAATTGATAGGTTTTCGCTTAACGAAATTTTTGAGATCTGAATTCTTACTTAAGTTATCGCCTGCACACACAGACAGACACACATCCGGAATTCAATTCGGTTCGTTAGCTTGAACAATTTGGTATAAATAAATCTATATCTATCTCGATTAGTTTTAGGTGTTACAAACATCATTTAGGTGAACAAAAGTTTATATTACCAATTGCTGGAAATCTTTCAATCGTATTGAAATCTTGCAAATTACAGTATCTATATACTACTTTTAATTAGAACGCTTCTAATCCAAATGCTTTTCAAAGGTTTATGTCTGATCAGGAAGCTTGGCATGAGTTATGTGGACTTTATTTGGCGGAAGGGGACTACTCTAAAGCGGTTTTCTGTATGGAAGAACTTTTACTACACAATCCACACAGTCATCTAATTCATCAGAGAATTGCGGAAATCCGGTATACAATGGTAATTATATGTTTATGTTAGTCGAAATATATGTACGTATATATACAGTGCCTAACGGAACTATCTGTGCTTAGTTTATTATAATTTCTTTTTACATAGGAACTACGGAAATTAATAAATAAATTGAAGCAAATTGGCATTAGTTGAGATGCCTCTGTTATGGCCAATTCACATAGAACTTTTGCTTAGCTTTGAGCCAGACATTTGTTTTGACAGAAATATTTGATGTACGCTTTTGTATGAGTACGTTCACATAAAAAGTTTTCGACGGGTAGTCAAGCAAAATGTTGGGCAACTCTAATCTTTTTTCGCTTTGGCAAGAAACAGTCGCCATTTTTTTTAGAAAAACTGAAAGCAAAACGTTCACTGTTGCATACACTTCGTTTCCTGCGTTTCGTTGTACGAACTGTCACGCAAAGCGAGGAAAGTGAAAGGAAAATCTTCTTGATTAGCTCCACATTGGGTAGCAACTTGAAAATCGATGGTTATCTTTTTTTATTCTGATATTCTTGCTATTGGAAGAATAATGTAACTTCATTCAAAATATATGCACTTTCTAGTTGTTTTCTTTTTTAAAACGCTTTTTCACGGCCTTACTGTTGAACAAAAACGTCAACTGTATTTTGTTAATAGGTCTTATTTCATATAAAAACGTTTTTAAAATCAAGTAAATAGCTTATAAACTATCTAAACTGGATTACCAAATTTGATGGTATCATATTAACTTATTTTGAAGTTCATAGACCCACTTAGTTTTATAACTATATTTTGATTCCCGCCACCGAAAATTATATTAAAATCATCCGCAAATGAGAAATATGACATACCTTGTAAACTCAACCGAAGAGGCTAAATTTAATATATTGAGTTGATGTGAAAAACGTCAACCAAATACAATAATTGGAATTCATTATATTAGAGACAATGTAATTTTTTAACTTTTAAGAAAACATGTTCATTTACTTTCATTAAAATATGACACATTTTGAACAACCCAAACGGTTTAAACAACACAAAACACGATCTCTCAATTTCATTAAAATAATTCCCTCATTGGACGATATATGTGGTATAAAGTCAACTGGAAGCTCGAAAATCGTTATATTAGTATATGGGGCTAAGGAAGTATTAAGCTGATTCAACCCATTTTTAGTACAAGGGTATACTATTATCAAAAAAACATTTTCCCCGAATTTCAATAATATATCTCAGTTTGACTGATATTTTTGGCAAAAAGTCACCATACACACTGTAGTCCACCTATTAGGTATATGGGGGCTTGAACAGCTATGGTCCGATTTTGAAAATATTCAGACTCGGAATGGTAAACTTCAAAATCAATATTTGTGTAAAGTTTCATCTGAGATTCATAGATGCTTCATTTGTGTCCTGAAAGAATCATATGGAATTTAAAATTGTGCTATATGGGAAGGAAGCGTGGTTATAGTCCGATTGCGCCCATTTTTACAAATTAATATAGGGTCACCAAGATCATGTTCCGATTTTGGTGAAAATTAGTCGACTATGTCCGGAGATATTGACTTCACCTAAGTGTGGGCGGCCCCACACCCATTGTCCAATTTTGGCACCGGCTGCTATAAATTGTATTTATTTATTGATTTATCGCGCTTTTAGTAGTTTTAAACAAAACCGTTATATGGTTAGAGAGAGGGGGGTTTTATAATCCGATTTCATCCATTTTAAGATTTTCGATAGGGGTACTTTAGGATTTATCCTAAGCGAATTTGGTTAGTGCAGCTGTAGTGGTTTAGGAGATATGCACATTAAAGATATTGGAGAGTGGGGTCACGCCTATTTTTTTTTTTTTTTTTATATATTTTTAAATCGTAGGTGTTTTATACGTTTTGTCCTTATTTTTTTGCGTTTTGATTATTCGATTTGGTCCATTTTAGGCACACAGATACAAGTATATTATCATTAGTAAAACACGCTCTTTCATTTGCACTAAGGTAATGATATTGGCGAATATATGCGCTTTGAATTAGGTATATAGCAGCTAAGAGAAGTCTTCATCCGATTCAACCCGTTTTGACATATAGGCATACTGTTATCAGGAAAGGATTCAAAACCGGAGACGAAGGGGCCATTCATCCGCTGAAATTAAACTGGGCTTATTGTCTTTGCACCGCTGCTGAATAATTCTTGCTTTATGAATCGGGGCAGAATCTTGTTGAAAGCAGTTTGGACTATCGCGTAACATACTGGATACATGAGCAGAGAAGTTTCCAACAAACACTTCCTCCAAATAATATTTTGCATTAAGTTTTACGCCTTTATCAATGAAAATGAGATTGAGTTTTGCTTTTGGAGATATGGCACCCCAAACCATAACAGAGGTTGTGTTTTAATACCTTTCAATAGTTCTTTTATCAGCTGGAATATCAGACATACTGTTTACATAAACGCGGTCATTTTGTGAATTGTGGCTTGCCTGTAACACAAAAAGTTTCTCATCAGAAAACAAAATCTCACAATGTGCGTGTCACCGAAGAACCAAATCATTTATTACTCTTCTCATTTATTTTTCTCGTTCCGTTAGACAATGAATTCGTTCTTTCCTATAAGCCTTCATTCTGAAATTTTTGTTAATAATATTTCTGATAGTTTTTCGGCTCATACTGAGATCCATAGCCAGTTTCCTTCCAGAAATTGCACAATTTTTCCTTATTTGCTCACGTACAATCTTCACCAGATTTAGAGTTCTGACCGTGTAACTCCGACCATTTTTCTTTGATATTTTAACACTTGTTGTTTTTCCTTGAAAATGTAACTTTTTCCCCAGCTTTCTTTTTGATTCCATTAGTCACAAAAACTGAATACCAATTGATAAAACTTAAAATTATGTAATGTATATTTAAAATATATGTGGCAATAAAAATGTGTAAAGGGAAAATGGTAAAACTTACTTAGCTCGGTCTAACGAAGCTTCAAACAAGTGCGACAGTTATAAGGGCCCACGCTGTATATAACTTCATATTTATCTCGATTAGTTTTAAGTGATACAAACAACCGTTAGATGAACAAACCTATTATACTCTTTAACATGTTGCGAGAGTATAAAAAAACAGTATATATTAATGAAAAATATAATACTAACAATTATTTAAAGTAAAACTAAAGTATTACTTATTCATTTCATTTGATATATGAAGTTGACGAAATTCGCGTATATATAAAGTTTTTGAAACTTTCCATCTCGATTTCAAAGTTTAAATTATCGCTAGATCTCACATTGCCATTCATGAATATCTTTTAGGTAGTATTTATAAATAGCAAGCAATAAAGTATGATTTTTTTTAACGAACAAATCTTAAGATCAACTTTAATTGTAAATACATCTGATTAAAAATATTGTCTACCAAATCCTTTTGCCTACCGAGCCTAGGTGTTTTAGAATCAGCATGCTTATTCCGTGCGCGGTCTTTTGGCATTTTGCGCAGCTGTCGGTTAACACATCGTTTGGTCTTGTCTGTCGAAGGGTGCAGTGTACATTGCCGGCTGAAATAGCTCGCTCCCTTCTTTGGGTGCGACGAGGCATGGCTTCTCGGATTAGACAAGGCCTTGACAGTAGTCCAAAGCTTACATACACCGGTGGAAGTGGCAGGTTTTCAAAAGCTCTACCCATTTTGTCCGCTATTGTTACTTTTTTTCAAATCTCCAGATTGAGATCCCTTATTCAGGGTTCACAGGTATCGGCAATGCGTAAGCTGTCGCGCTCGTTGGCTAAAACAGCTGCTTCGGCTAGGAAATTGGGGCGGAGTTCCGCGATTCTTTCAGCCGCTATGAAGCGAGCGGTAGGAGCAGCGATCACCTTGCGGAATTGACGCTCGCCACGATGACGTCCGTAGGAATCGGTAAATTCTGTGAAGCCGACCCAGTTAGCTTTGCTAAGTTAACAAGGGTGCGGTTGTCACATAAATAAAGTCAGGAGGTTTCTCGATGGAGATAATTATTGGCAGGTGGTCTGATGCGAAAGTTAGCATAGGTCGCCAGGTTATGCTATTTATCAGACCTCCGCTAGCGATGGTAATATCTGGCGAGCTATTACAGGTGCTCATAATTCTGGTGGGTGCTTCGTCATTGTGCAGAATGTCGAATCGTCAATCTGTTCCGCCAGCTCCATCCCCTCGATCGTTTGACAGGCAGGAGTGCAACGACGGAAAGTGACACCAGCCAGTACAAGATGCACTTGACTGATGCGACGTTTCGGCGTATGACGGTCTGCACACCCGGAAGAGACTGTGCGAGGAGTTGCTGAGTGGTTCATATTTCACCTAAATCTGTAATTCCAACTATCCGAAATAAAACTTCGTTTAATGGAGAAATAATGGATTATTTTTACTGACTTAGTTTCATTTTATATTATGCTTTATGTCGATGTGACAGAAACTAAACAAAGTGGTTAAATTGAATATTAGGGATAAAGGACTTCGAACATTTCATATCATTGAAATATATATATTGACCACATAAACGGTTTAAGTCATCTGGAAACTGAGAATCATTATTGAAGTTTACTGGAAACATGTTCCCATACAATTTTATGAAGATAACACACTGACGATTATTTAGTATTAAGTTATACTATATTATATTATATATATATAGAATACGAAAATTATTATATTGTGTATAACGGGACTAGGGTAATTTGTTGATCGATATCAGACAGTTTCGGCACTATACTATATTCAGTATTATACGTTACTTAATTTTGCTTTGAACTCTTACATATTAACTGATCTAAGTACATATGTAGTAATCGGTATTAAGCCAACTGAAGGCTGAAATTTGCAATTCAAAGTTTCAGGATTTTTTATTAAAAAGAATATTATTTTTTTTGAAAATTTATTGGTCGTTCTTCAAATGTCTCTTCCGCCTGAATCACCGTTTTGCACGTTCAAGAAGGTTATCGAATGACTTTTTGGTCATTGTGGTATAGCGTTGAGGATGGCGGTCGTCGCTTTTGGATTGCATCAACGTCAGCAAGCGGTTTCCTTTCATGGCAATTGTAGTTTTCGAACAAATAAAATCGCAGGTGCCATATCAGGCGAATAGGGTGAATGGTTGATGATATGAATGCGATTTTTGGTCAAAATCTGTCGTGAGTGTCGAACGTCTGAGTCTTTTGTGTTGTTTTAAAGTGTGCGGGACAAATCGAGCACAAATTTCTGAGGCCCAATTTTCTGTCAAAATACGATAAATCGACGCGCTGCGGATATTGATAATTCCGATTCCATATATTTAAGCGATGATTTCGCTCTTTTTAATGAATTCACGTACAATTTCCGTGTTTTTCGTTCACAACATCTTTTGGCCGGTCCGAACGTCGTCTTCCCGTCCTCTTGAAAGTTTAAACCACTCGTGAATGCGGCTACGGGATAGACAATCATCGCCATAAACTTGTTTCATCATTTGATGTGTTTTGGTAAAAGTTTTACCAAGTTTAAAAACTTAATGTTGGCTCTTTGTTCGATGCTCATTTTCCGACCGACACTATCAAATGTAATGTCACATGTAGCGCGATATTCAGCTGTTTATACAAGTCAGCTGTTATATAAATTTTATACGGCAACACTGAAGAATACACAATTGAGGATAACAATTTCAGACAGATGGCGCCACTAAAGCGCGTTGTTTAAAAGTCCTGGAACTTTTGAATTGTTCCTTGTAAAACAAGCGGATGTTTAAATTCTCCACCACCAAAGACATGTGTGGCCTGGCGTTGTCCTGATGGAACACAATTCGGCCTCTTCTGGATGAGTGCTGCCTTCAAGCGGTCCAGTTTGTTGGCAGTGAGGGCCGAATTGAGCGTTTGACCATAGGGAGCAGCTCGTAGTAGATGATTCTCTTGCCATCCACCAAACACACAACCTTCCTGGCCGTCAATCCGGTTTGGCCACGTCTGGGCCGCTTCCCGCGAGCTTTGACCACGACCGTTCGCGCTCGATGTTGTTGTAAGTAACCTATTTTAATCGCCAGTCACAATCCGCTTCAGAAACGGGTCGATTTGTTGCGATTCAGCAGCGATTCGCAGATGGAAATTCGTCATCATGTTTTTGAGTTAGTTCGTGTGGCACCCAAACAAATGGTTCCAAACGGTTTTCTGGCTTATCTTTAGTTCCTCAGCAATTAATAAGTGCTCAGGGTGACGGTCTGTTTCCACTATTTCCATGATTTTATCGCATTTTCGACGACAGGCATCCCGACGCGTGGTGCATCTTTGACATCGAAATTACCGAACGGAATCTAGCAAACCACTTTTGTGCTACACGTTCGTTTACAGTATCGGGCCCATAAACTAAGTTAATTTTTTCAGCCGCTTTGACTACTTTTTCGCCTTGATCGGAAAAATTTTTTAAAATATAGCGAATTTTCTCTTTGCTGGTGTCCATGTTTGACGAGCGCTCACCACGTACTGAGTCAATCAATTGAAAAACTGTCAAAGACAAACTTTTAGCGCGAATAAACACGTTTTCAGCGCCGTCACTAGTAACACTAGTACTATGGACAATAACGCCATCTCTTAGATAAAAATCGAACGAACTTTTTTTGACCTAATATATGAGGACTAGGGGAAGTATTCATTTTAGGCACAAAGAACTACTGGTTATCTTTATAACAATTTTTCGAGTATACTTGTGTAATGTCCTGATCTTCCCTTAGCCCCAATATACGAATGTAGTGACTTTACACCTGACTTTAAACGGATTTTGTTCGTCAATATGTGATATTTTTATGAAATATAGTGGACAAGCTTTCTTCAAAATATGTTGGTTTAGCGTTGAGTATGTGTATGGATGAAATTGTATTCAATTTCGTTTTATTGGTAGAAGAGTTTATATCACCTAAAAGGTGTGCTCCCAAGACTACCACTGTTACAAAATTAATAGTTTTGTTCAGCTAACAGCAACTAATCGAGATGGATAATATATAGCAAATCGAATTAGAAGTAGGGAGGGCCATTTGGGATTTGGNTACTTTATATATTGATCAATATGTGAGGTTTCTTAATGAAATTCAAAGGGCATTTATTTCTGGTAATAATATGTCGTAACTCCAAAACTGGATAAAATCGGGTAAAAATATTCCCTAGACCCCATCTACCTTATCTAAGAAAATCGATAAGAATTTCAAACTTCCGGTTGGCTTTATACCATATATATCGGTCAATATGTAAGATATATAATAAGTGAAAGTTTAATATTGGATATACTATAGTTTAATGCTGAAATGTGTTACATCGATCCACATATTACCCCTTCTCTCCCATATACTACATTACTACATATGTAGTTGTTCTTTTATAGTCCAGAATGAAATTGGGATTTCGCATTCTTTGGTTGATGATTTTTTTATACTTGTAGACCCCATATATTGAATTTTGTTTGGATTGAGTTTATATCACATATATCATATTTGAGTTAATTAGGTTGAATTGTTTCGCAACAAAATTAAATATAACGCTTAACCTTAACAACACCTAAAAGTATTAACCCGTCTATGATCTTTTCAAAATGCGAAAGTATAAAATATTCGTTTATACTCGAACTTGCCCTTTCTTTTTTTTTTTTTTTTTGTAAGGTTTTCCACCTTTGATTCTTACGTCTTGCGAAGGATAGTAATCTAAGTATAATTTTTTCTTTGATGATTCGTTTTACTTCAGTGGCAATGCATGTTTATCGACATGTTTCACTTTCTATTTGTTACAATATACAAAATTCAGCTGCAAAGAAAAATTTAAAACTAAATATATGTAGAAATGTGGAGAAAAAATATACACATTATTTTATATTTTTTTAATACGTTTTTATTAGCTTGAGTTGTATGTATGTAATGGAATCTTAGAGCTCATTTTTCACCGGTTTCCAGTAGTTTGATTCACGTGAAACTTTGCAGACGTGTCAAGGACCGATGACAATGCAATAAATGGTTTAATGTATATATCTTCCAAACCGCTAAAGCTAACTCAACCAAACTTGCTGAGAGGAAGTCCTTTAGCCGTCATACGCTGTAAAAATGGGCAAAATCAGATAATAACCACGCCCACTCCCCATATAACAGTTATGTTAAAATATACTAAAGTGCGATAACTGACGAAATAAATGCGCCATAAGCATTAAATTTCACAAACAAGATGGTAGGGAAGAGCTTTATAGAAGGATGTGTAAAAATTGTAAAATGGGCGTAGCACACGCAACCTTTAGGTGAAATAATATATCTCAGAAACTATCGAAAAGCGTGTTTTTTTAGTTTTTTTAAATTGTTATTTATTATATTTATCGTGTCGATTCAAAGTTTGCTTTCAAAGCTTACGTTTCTTTGTCCACTGCTGTTTGTTTTTGAAACTGAATGCCCAATAACATAGTTGGTTATATTGACATTCGTGAAGTTGTATGTTAAAATCGTCTTCGCTCTGCAGCGATTACACTGTCTAGGAGCGGTTGATCGTTGGCCAAATGGTACCAGCAAAGTTGATTTTATTTTTCGTTTATCTGATACTTTGTACTTAATTTATTTTAGGGTGGAATGGATAATGTGGAAATCGCTCGAATATACTATTCCCAAGCCCTGAAATTAAATCCAAATAATTTACGTGCACTATATGGTTTATATTTGGTAAGTTCGATATGTCGTAAAAGATTGTCTGAATATGTATATATATTTGTTTGTTATGTTTTCCAGTGTTGCAGTTACATTACCAATTCTCGCGTCTTGGGGTCGAAGCGCAAAGAAGCTCAAAAAATAGCACAGTGGGCTTTGGAGAGTGCAGGCGTTCGAACAATTACATCGTCGAAAATTTCTAGCAACGATAAATTAGTTTCAAGTCTAGAATGTGCATTGGGAAGCTTAGATATTAAATCTAATTGACATTATTCTTAATCATTGTCGTAAAATGTATAAAAGATAATATTAATTGTCATCCTATTTGATTTCTCACTATATAACTGTGGACTTTACTAATGGTATAAAAGAAGTACGTAAAAATTTTAGTTTGTTTACCATATTTAAAGATATCTAATCAAACCAAATTTATATATTCGATGAGTAACGTTCTGAAACTAGGTTTTACGGTTTGGTTTCATGGTTCATTATTTGAAATAAATTTATTTGAATACAATTTATATATTTACATTTATTTTTATACTCTCCCAACATGTTGCAACAAAGTATAATAATTTTGCTAAAGTAACGGTTGTTTGTAACGTGTGTGTCGTGAAAGTACATATTTCTCAAGTCACTAAATATATATCAACCTAGTTTGTGAGTATAATCTGTTCGGCACCTCCTCAGACAGTGTGAAAATAGTTGAAGTCGGATGATATCCCTGCCCACTGGTATCATATTATGGTTATGCGGAAAACTTCTAGTTAAAAGTGCGATAACTCACTAAATAAATACGTCAGAAGGCTACGTCAATACGTCAGTCACCACCCACTAGGGTTAAATCATCTATTTTAGGAACCACTCGACCAATTTCAACCAAATTTGGTGCATAATATTATCCCGAATTTCATCTGATTTTTTCACTTTACGATATATAAATCGAGAACCAATGACTTAAGTGATACCAAACTTTGCACAAATAAAGTTAGTGTGGCAAGGCATGCCATATTTAATCTAAAAAAGGTCAAAAACGGACCATAACTTTTCAAGCACCCAGATATGGAAATACGGAACATATGGAACACAGTGCCTTCGGTCAACATGTAAGATATAATAATAAACTTATATTATATTTTTCTATAGTCTATATTTTTCTGGTAATAATATGCTGTAATGCCAAAAATGAATAAAATTAGGTAAATACTACCCCTAGTCGCCACAAACTCACGATTGAAATTATATTGTGTATATATATGGTATATATAGCGAAAGGTCTGGCTTGACTGCAGTAACTTTTGACATTACTGAAGTATACTTGGAACATGTTTCCATGCAATTTTCTGAAGATAAGTCACATACTGACAGACATATTCATAATAAAGTCTGCTGAGCTACACGTTCACTTAATTTTGCAAATATATATAGAAAGTGAAAGAATATATAGAATTTATACATTTTTTATATGAGAAATGAGCGAGGTTATTGTCCGATTTTGTTCATTTTAACAATGTAACATAAGAATATCATGATAATGTTATGCACAATTACGAAATTTTAAATAGGATGTGAAATCTAATGCTTCTTCGTGTTAAATTAGTGAGTTATCTCAACAACATATCCGTTATATGTGGAGTGTACGTTTTTACAATCGATTTTTATTTTTATTTTTATATACCAATTTTTACACTGTGTGAGGAGGAGTTGGCTAGACTTGTCCTCAAAAATGTTTTCTGATTATCTATAGTGGTTTGTGCGACACATAACATACATAACACTTGTTAGTGAGCATATCTCCGCCCAGATTTTAAAAAGTTTTAATTTTGGTTTAGTTATAGCCCTTTAAAATGTTTCACGTTTTGTGAGCGTAGCACCTGTTCAATACCGCCCATATGTGATATCATACTCCTGAGGGTACCAAAGAATACATGTATAACTTTTCATCAAGATATCTCAATATTGAATCAAGTTATCGTTTGTACGGACGGACGGGCAGTCAGCCGGAATGCGACACGTCCCGTCATTCTGATCATTTATATATTATAATATGTATTTCTATCTCGATTAGTTACAACTGGTAGGTGAACAAAACTATTATACTCTGTGGTAACAGATTCCGAGAGTATAAAAAATAATTATTAAGTTCTATAGATAAACGCATGTATATACAATACATACATATATGCAATTAAAAAGCATAAAAGAATTTTATAAACCAGAAAAACGACTAACAATATATATATAGAGTAAATTATGTAACAATAGATAAAAATATTAACTATTTTTTTCAAATCTTCATTAAGTACAGTGATTTTTGAAAAAAAAGCTTCGATCAGGCCCAGGAATATCTATTTATAAATCTCCAAGGACTTATGATTGTCACCGCGAGGACCCTTTTTTGAAAGTGGGTCAACCCAGACAGCTATAACTTTGGAAATTAAAATTTTTTTTTGAAATTTTCGTGACTTCAAGTCAAAACATTATATAATAAGGCTATATTACTGCTTTTGTAAAATAACAAAAAAAATACTGAAAATTCTAATTTTTTCGTGCCTTTGACTACCCCTAACCACGTAAGGTGAGAGGATTGTTAACTAAAATATCATTTGATGGTGCTCCTTAAAACTACTGTCTACGTTGAGTTTAAAGCTGCTCGCTTAATTTTTTGTCTATGACTTTTTAAGGGTCGCATCTAAAGGGACCGCTTAAAAAAGGAGATTTTTGAAATTTTTACGATATACACAATTCACAACATCAAAAGAAAAAATAACAGTTATATAGTTATTCGATATTTTCCAAGTTTCCAAAAAAAGTCCTTCGGCTTTCATCGTATTTGAAAACAAATAAATAAAAATTCAGACTTTGAAAAAATAAACACGAATTTCATTCAAAATTACAATTTTTCATGCAATCGAAAAACTGGTGTACAGAGAAACGTCTACAAAATTATTCAGAAAAAAATCGAAGCGATCGGATGAATTGTCTTTGAGTTACATCTGCATCATGTAACCAAATATGATAACAATACATATAATTTAACTCTTTTGAAAATACCGATGTTTTCATGCATTTGTACTCTTTGTCGAATCCACTATATGTATACAAGTATGTAAGATAGGTTGCTTGTAAGTTTCGTTTTTGAGGCGAATCGAATCAGCAAATCCTGGTTCCTCGCGCAGTTTGTTCCGTGTGTCAGACCGTCATACGCCGGAACGTCGCATCAGTAAAGGCAAGTCTTGTACTGGCTGGTGTCACTTTCCGTCGTGTTCCGGCCTGCGTACCACACGCGAGTGGAGTGCGTATGTTGCCCCGTGTAATATCGTCTAAACGATGTTGACATCGACCGCAGGGATACTACCTTTGAATGTCAGGGTATAGCTGTCCGGTTAGGCGATGTCGAGCTCGAGATATTTAATATATACAACCCTCCCATTACATGTTGCCCAACAGGATATCATCCGAACATAGTTCGTGGTGAAAATCGCTTGGTGCTAGGCGACTTTAACGCGCATCACGATCTTTGGCACTCCTGCCTGTCAAACGATCGCAGGGGGATGGAGCAGGCGGAACAGATTGACGATTCGACATTCTGCACAATGAATGACGAAGCACCCACCAGAATTATGAGCACCTGTAATAGCTCGCCAGATGTTACCATCGCTAGCGGTGGTCTGATAAATAGCATAACCTGGCGACCTATGCTAACTTTCGCATCAGACCACCTGCCCATAATTATCTCCATCGAGAAACCTCCTGACTTTATTTATGTGGACAACCACACCTTTGTTAACTTAAGCAAAGCTAACTGGGTCGGCTTCACAGAATTTACCGATTCCTACGGACGTCATCGTTGGCGAGTGTCAATTCCGCAAGGTGATCGCTGCTCCTACCGCTCGTTTCATAACAGCTGGAAGAATCGCGGAACTCCTCCCTAATTTCCTAGCCGAAGCAGCTGTTTTAGCCAACGTGCGTGACAACTTATGCATTGCCGATTCCTGTGAACCCTGAATAAGGGATCTCAACCTGGAGATTTGAAAAAAAGTAACAATAGCGGACAAAATGGGTAGAGAATTTGAAGTCCTGTAACTTCCACCGGTGTAAGTAAGCTTTGGAATACCGTCAAGGCCTTGTCTAATCCGAGAAGACATGACGGCCGGGTTGAAATGGGTACGGCATTTGAAGACCTGCAACTTCCAACGGTATAAGTAAGGATGCGTTCGAGCTACGTAATAATTGTAGCAGTACAGCAACTCTGTTTCACATTTGACACTTCGTTGCTGAAGTGCTGTTTGTATTGCCAAAATTATGCCAAAAAAATTTGCTGAATGGAAATTCATTTAATTGTTGATGAAATGGAAAAAAGTGAAGAACACTTTATTAAATTTTGAAAAAAAGAAGAATCGACAGAATGAAACGGAATCTTTTATTGGAATCAATTTTGGAAAAAAGACGGTAAGAAAAGTAAACAATTTCTTCAACACAATTGAGCAGTACGATAACGATGTATTCGTAAGTATTGTAATTAAAAACCTATTGTTTATAATACAACCAATGTTTTTGATTTGTTTAGAAATTGACGCATGCTCTGCAGCCGCATTGGTTAACCTTTGACACTCGCTACTCCCTGAAGCAATCGCTGTATATTTCTTTATGGAAGCTAAGCAATAGTCGCGTACATAAACTTTTTTTCATGACCATCAAAGCCATATGCCAACTAAAAAATGAAATACCTTGGCTCACGCTTGTGGAGCAACAAAGAAATATGGAAGAGTTCCAACCAAAAAGATCAAATCCGTTTCCATTTGTGGATGGATGCATGAATGGAATCCATTTTAAAATAAACATCCCCAAAAAAGATGCAATCTGCTATTATGATCGTAAAGGAAATTTTTCGAAACTTATAGAGGTAAAACGATGTATTATAAATATACCCTATTACAATGTACAATTTTTGATTTATTTTTCTATCTAGGCTATTTGCGATAGCAACCTACGATTTATAGACGTCTTCATTGGCTTTCCTGGAAGCTGTCACGACGCTAACGTCTGGCAAAATAGTCCAATTTACCAAAAGATCACCTCCGGAGAAGTTCAGCGACCACGGTCGTAATATTAGCAGATTCGGCTTATCTGCTATCAAAATATTTGATGGTCCCGTAATTGTAATGGCCTGTACTATATTACATAATTTATATTAGCCCACAGCGGTGATGCAACTTCAGACGATGTCAATTTCTACCAATATAACAACGATACAGTGGCTGTTGCCGAAAACATTAACGAAAGTAGTGAAGGTATTATAAGAAGGAGTGAATTAAAAATGTTATTTTCGTCATAAATATTTTATTTAAAAATAAATAGGATTACAAAAAAATGTTTTACATGTTTTTTGAAAGATCACATTCATGTTTGTACAAGTTTGCAAACAAAATTTAAATTTATGTGAGATCATACACTTCAGGTAATCATTGTATTCAAATCCTCTTCGCCAGAATTTCTCGCAACGCACTCAAAACGCAAATTTTTTCCTTCTCGATTTCTAACTTCTCTCTAGTTTTACTAGTTCTTCATGGCGTTTTTGCTCCTGACTAGATTCCGCCTTAAAAATGCCTCGTTTTGCGATTTTTTTGGAGCGTTTACTTGCACTTCCAAGGAAACTGTCCGAGTCACCGCAATCCGAGTCTTCGTACGTGGGACTTCCTAGGGAGGA